TTAAATCATTTGAAATCAGTGGCCTGAATTTTATCAACACACTTTGTAATTCAACTTTGGACAAGTAACTTTATTTCTATTCGTAAATATAACTTTTTATAAATGCTTGTATATATATATACACACACATACACACACACTCGCTGTTTATAAACAGTTGCCAGGCATATGCTTAAAGGTAAAGAGAAGGCGTCTTGTGAGATAAACAAAAACAATATAATTTGAGCTCTATTATTATTATTATTATTTTTTTTTTTGGGTAAAACAACCAAAAATTGGTAGGATCATACAATCTAACACGATTCTATATGGTTATATGCGATCCTATCAAATTACAATATGGATTATTTTGCCTTTTAGGATTCGTCAATCCAACGATTCGGATTGTGATTTCGATAACCATGTTGGAGAGTGACATGTTGAGGTTATTCCGAAAATTAAAGATCTATTTGATGTAAATTTTAGAATTGATTTTTATAAATAGTGATTTTTTTTCTAAAAAATTATAGTTGAAAGTTAAGGAAAATTTATGGATCCACATTCATTTATATTATTAGAAGAATATGTAGTTAAAATAAATTTGTAAAAAAATGAGTGTTAAAAAATATGTACCAAACGTGATCTAATTTTAGACATTATCTTTACCTAAGATTTCCATATTTTATTTAATATCGTAGCTTTAACAAACATGTAAATTGTGGTGTGTGTCGATGTATTCCTTGTTCGGGAATAAAGTGGTTCACAAGCTTGCTTCTTTCGCTGTATTTATCTATATTAACTAGGTCGATTATAATCTTTATTTATGTTTCAATATTTTTGGTGAATTGTGTTAATATAATTTATGTCAACCAAAAAATAATAATTCAACCAAAACAGTACATTTATTTATTTTCAATTTCAAAAGTAAGAAATAAATTTGGTATGAACAACGGTGGTACAAATCTAACGGACTTGCAAAATCAGTGACGGAAGCTGATGAGTTTGTTTTTTTACTATTGAGCCTTCTACAATTATGGGTGAACAAGATGAACTTGTTCCAGTAGACAAAATACACCTCCATTTGTTCATTACAATTAATTTCTATGTTGTTTTCAATAATAGAGGTTCGAAATCTATTATTTTTTAATAATGCATTTTAAAATAGTAGATTGATAAAAAATATGTGATTGAAAAATAAGAAAAAATTTTGAATTTACGTATAATATTATTTTATTAAAAAATATGAGATTAAAAAGAAGAGAGAGAAAAACGTATTTTGAAAAGAATGAGGACCATACAAGGTCTTAAAATTACATTAAGCTTTGTCTTCGTTCGGTACTTTTACAAAACTTTAGTGTCATCCAAATTCTTTCTTTTCAATTTCAGTATTTAATTTTGAATAAACAATTTTATAGATCAAGATTAATTATGTTGGACTAAATATTAGTGGATGGATACCAGATTAACAAATATCAGATAGACATATGATGGGACTGATTGACCAATAATGTAGAAATTGAGATTTAATGAATTCCACTTATTGTAATTGAAGTATTGAACAAGATCACAAATAACTTAAGAACAAGATTAAAGTAAGTAAAAGAAGAACTGGTAGAAGGAACGATGTTTTATTAATTCACTATGAAAGGAGAACACAATACAGCAAAAAACTTCTAACAATACTGAAAGAGGAGTCCTATATTTATAGTACACGAGTCTTGGCAAAATATGGAAATTACAAGAAAAAACGTGTAAAAAATCTGCCCACGGCACACATATTTTTCTTCCTTATTCCTTTGATTCTTTCCATATTAACGTGTCTCGGATTTGGATACCAATTGATCCCATTTCCTTTTGTCTACGACTTTGATATTTCCAAGTTTAAGGATCACACGCAATCTTCAGTATTTCCTTATTTTGAGGCACAAATTCAACAACATATACCAGATTTACACTGGATATGCAGCTTATCGGATTGAAAAATTTATAAAGAATTGTGAAAAACAATATCATTAAGATTTAAAGAATCTCTCTCGTTCTCTTTTCCGTTAACAAAATGTCAAGCTTGCGTTGGGAAAAATAGACAGACATGTGAAACAATGATTTAGCACATGAGTTCCATTCTTTAAATTATTATTTTTTAACCACTAATTCTTCCAATAAAATAATAGAAAATTTATAAAAATGTTTAATTTCATGTGAACCGAAAAGTGTCTAATTCTGATGACTATTGCAAAAAATGGCTAAATTTAGCACCAAAATATCCATTATACCCTTAATGGAAAAAAGAGAAGATTTTTTTTATTGAGTGTGGCATGCAACTCAAGGCTAACAAGTTGCTTATATGAGAAGCCAGAATAATGTGCTAGTTATTCACTAATGGATCTATTTTATATGTTTTATCTACTAGGCATAACCAATGTAGTAGAAAATGCACTAACAAAGAACTATATGTTTTAACAAATAAGAAAAAAACATAATTTCATTTTGAGAGATTTAATTTAATCCAAATTGGAGAGTTGATTGGACTTTCCACGAATTTCGGTAGAAGTTATTTTTTTTTTTAAATCTTTTTTGTGTTGATAAGTTATGTTTAATGGTTGTTATACATGTGATTAAAATGGATTAAATTATCCCAAACAACTAGTCAAGATTAGTTGTAAGATTATTGGAGTATTTAAAAAAATTCATGTACATTGTGGTGTGTTCCTTAAACATTATGTCGCGTCTTTTTTAAATAACTTTAATGGATAGGAATTTAAGGTAGTTGTGTATTGACCATATCAATAATGGTGGGATAAATTCTTTGTAAAAATGGTGGTTGAAAAATATGATAAATACATGTAGTAAGGTGTAATCCTGACACATCATTCTCGATATTGTGTAAACGTCAAGAATGATATTTTAAATGTTATCCTTGATATTTTTCCAAATGTCTAGATTAACAGCAAAAAATTCGGAAACTAGAGAACATTTTGTGTTTACCATTTAACATATTGCATGTGGGTAGAATGTTCATTTTAGGTATTCGCGTGTTAACTGATCGTATTTGTGTTGAAGGCATTCGTGTATGGGGCATCATCGTGGAGAACTTCATGATCAACATTAGGATCACCAAATCATATTGCACATTCACATTTCCTCCTTGACCCATCATGCAAAAGGTACTCCGTTAGGGTGAGTGCACTTTATTAATCTAATAGAAAGTAAAGGCTCTAAGCTCCACTGCTCCGATTGGGAACAGGATTGGGAAAGAAATTTTGAGACTCTTGACAAAAAGCAGGTTGGGGAATGATTCTCGAACAGATAAGAGAAGTATTGTTGACGTTGAAACATCGATATAGTTGTCTTGAGATTTTGAATTAAAATCATTGATTGGATCGTCTACTAAAGGCATTTTTGCAAAAGAACAAGAAACTGAATTTTATCAACCAAATTCAAAAATGGAATAGGATGAAGGGTCATCCTACGACGATGGTTCCCCGGTTGAAGGATGTAGAGAACGACATTATTTACGTAGGGTATAATCAAATTCATTACATTGGATTGACAACCTAAGTTTGAGGAGTTGTGCTTGTCACCTTAACGTAATGCTTTAATTATTATACACCTAATAGGATTGTCAATTAATTATAACAGTCGATCTTTCCATTTGTTTTTATTTTACTCTTCATTTCATCTCGTTTTTTAGGTTTGAAAACTAGTTCTTGACATTTCATCTTTCAAGGTTCCCTTCGATTAATTGATTTTCATTTGTTCTTGAAATTTGGAAACTAAGGGGCGTTTGTTTCCCCCTTTTCTAAAAATGAGAATAAAAATAAAATCGTTATGGATCCCATATAAGAAATAGAAATTTAAATTTGGTGACTTGATGTGATGGATAACGGTCATATTTTTTATTTTAATGGGAAAAAATGGGAAACAAACAGGATCTAAATATTGACATTTGGTATCTGTTCACTGAAATCCTACATCGGCACGAGTCGTGTTCAAGTAATAAAGTTGATCTTTTAAGTTCAGATTGTCGATCCCTTAAAGAATGTATCTTTTCGATTACACAACTTTAATTAATTTTAATTCTAACAATAAAAATAAACACAAACAATTAAAAATATGATTTTGAAATAAGGAAATTAACTAAAAACCTACAAAATAAGAAAATATACAAATCTTGGAAATTTCGTAAGCAAACGTGGTTGGAATTCATATTTTCGCTTAACCATCGTCTAATTAATTTCTCCACATACCAATTAACAAATTACTCATTTACGATGTTAGACCCGTTTTTTCAATTTTAGTTAATTACCTCTCTCGAGCGAAATTAACCCTAATTGATTGGTTTAACATATTATATCTCTATATCGATTAAAACCAAACAATCCCATTAAATATTCATGAAAATCACTGATTGGGTCACCAAAGGCTAGATGTATATCTCCATCCTCTACACAGATCTAGGATTTCTACTATTTGGTCTAAAATGCACAATATTCTCTCGAACGATGTCCAAATCACTAAACATAATTATTCATTGGCCACATTAATGAAAATGTAATAAATCAACAGTAGAAACACATAAAATAAACAACTTAAAGAGCAAATATCAAAATTAATTAAAAGCTAAGTTAAATTAATACCATAAATCCCAACACAAATAACTTAGCCCATTGTATACAAATGATGAAAAGGAGAATATTTTACACAATTCATTACAAATATAACAAAATAATTGAGAAAATACAAAGTTATTGATATAACCCTTTTGAAGCTTGGCTATGACTTTCTCAAATATTTATCAAATATTTATCCATAACCTTAGATAGATTATCCTTGTGCTTTTGATTTCACTTTCAAAATGCCAAGAAAAATGGAAAGAAAATGAAGAGAAAAAGAAAGAAAGAAAAATGAGAGAAAATAAAAAAGAAAGAAGACCCAGCCCAAGAATTCCTAGAATTGACTAATAACCAAAATTCATGCTCTTAAACAACTAACAAAATAAAACCATATTGTAACGCATCTCATCACTAAGAAAATAACCAAACTTCATACCATACAAAGCTTTTTACATCAGGTCATTCGTAGTAAATCCCAATTTTACTTAAATATACATCAAGTTCTCAAACAACTTAAATGGTTAACAAAGGACACGTTGGACAAAACTAACACCCACCATGCATTCAGGTGCAGATTTGAATATTATAAGGCACATAATATTACCAAAAATTCCCATATCTATGATAAAACATGGTTTGTCCTCAACTTAACTACCTCTTTAACAACATCGCTACATGGCCTAAATGTGCTTGATTTGCCCCCAAATGCTTTTCATGTAATGCAACTTCGAGCAACAAACTGTCAACATGACCATCAAAATTCATATCCTCTCCATTGTACCAGATAGTCATATAGTCAAATGACAAACCAAACAATTAGAAAATATCATAAAAACAAAGCTAAGATCGTGTAAATCTTTAAAGTGAGACAGAAGGCAACCTGATGTGGTTTCAATTCTTCTGCAAAAGCATCAATTTCTGGTTTCCTCGAAAATTTCTCCAAATAAACCTAGAAATTTTCATGGAAGACATCAACAGTAAGCAATCTTAACTAAACCACAGTATATGTTAGCATTTTATATTAACATGTGGAATGATAACTGCTTTTAAAGGGGACGTGCATGTACGTTTGTGACCAAAATAGTATAAGACAACTATACCACCGAGATTCAATTAGGTGCAATAGAAATCTGTAAAATTTTAGAGACAAAAAATCATGAAGTGTGACTATATAAAAATGCATAAGAAAAGACACACACACACAAACTCGAGGAATTTAGCTTAATGTATACTAATTATTGGAATGCTTTAAATCTTTTTTGCTGTGTGTTACGTACTCATCATTAAGAGTTAATGGTTGACGATGACTAGCAAGGTTATAGAAATGGGATCAGTTTACTGTTTTTAAGCAACAAGGAAGTTCACGGCAAATTCAGAAAGTAACTTGTCATTACCTCAATGATCCCAACGAATCATGAGAGTTTGTAACAAATTGTACATTACATGGCTAGGAGAAATATGCTGTCGAAGAAGACTTACGTGGGACAACTCACTACTATTAACAGACAGTGTACTTGTTGTATTGGACCCCATATAGAACAAATCTATTCCATATTAATCGGACATTTAATCGTGTCATCAGGTCATATAAAATTAATAAACGGACAATGTCAGTATCTTCCTAGTACATAATGCGAAAAGGCATAGAGTGTGTGGCATTTCATTAATGCTTCTTAAGGCAGTTGCATTGCAAATATAAAATTCTATACTATCAAGAATACATATATTTAAATTATTCGCTTAATTTTAAAAAACTAAAAAAAAAAGAAGAAGAAGAAGATAAAATTTCAAATCTTTCGTCTATGATGTTTGTGCCTTCATCATCAAACAGCCCTCTTTCATAAAAACTATAAACAATTGCACACCACACAATTATCTCCTCTGTCTCATCAAATTGTCTGAAAGAATAGGTACGAACTATATTTACATTTTATGATAACTGAAAACCCCAATCCCTTCCCATGCTCTTCACTATTGGTAAGCCATTTTTTAATTCGTACACATATATCTCTTCATCATTGTTTCACCTCATTTTAAAGAAAGAGGCAAAAAATTCAAACATCCAGCAGGAAAGACTTACAAATTCAGGAGGTCACAAGGATGCTAGGATTCTTCAACTCCTAAAACTTGAGTCACTTGCAGCAAAAGATAGGATCCTTATCTGAACAACAAATTAGAAAATTTCACAAAACAAAGCAATGCAAAGAAAATTTTATAAAGAATATACAATAATGAACATGAATAATGGAAGAAATATTGTCAAGTTAACCAAGAAAAAAAGACAAGAAATTATGTGCTCTTTCTCCACCTCGTTTTGTTGGGAGCACAAGTAAACACTACAGTTAACTAGAGAATGTTTGTATTAGATTAAAATATCGAAACACCACGTGGGATTTTGCTCCCCCCCCCCCCCCCCCCCCC